GTTTTAGACTTTGCGCATTCAACTTTTATTTGTACCTCTTATCCACAACCTTGTCATATATTCAAAGTGCACATCTCCTTGGTAACAGGCCGGGTGGGGGTAGAGTACACAACATAGATGGCTTTGTCACTCACCAAGGTGTTGGGCTGGAAAAGCTTAAGAGACGGATAAATAAGTAAGAGAGCTGTTGGTATAAACAGGCCTTACAGAACTGGCCCGTGTTGATGCCAGGGTGGCAGCTGACGAAGGAAGGGACAGAGGGAAGTAGAAGCGCACAGCCATGTTGAATCTGTACAATTACCAGGCGACCTTAACCCGCCGTGCCGAACATGAGTGACAGCAGCAGGATCAGCGGAGCTCCCAGGAGGCTTAGTGCAGCTCTGTTGTGGGACACGTAGAGGGATAAGCTGCCTGGGGGGGGGAAGCTGAGGATGACCACTTACTTTGTGGAATGACTCAGCAGTCAGTGGGGGGGAAGTGGGGCTATAACCCTGGTACATAATGTTCAACAGTGAGACCTTATGTAAGATGGTGCATCTTTACTCTGGCTCATCACGTGTTGTGCAATTTCTCATCAGCTCTGCTAGGAAGTGGGATTAGATTTTAAACAAACACAAAAGATGATAAAGTACCTGTGCTCTTTATTCTCACTGACTATTGAACAAGTATTTATCACGGAGGTCGTGTTTTCCTCTCTGTTTGTTTGTTTGTAAGCAGAATAAGACAAAAACCACTCAACAAAATTTCATAGGATTTTTTTTTCACCTTAACATTGTGAGATAGGGTGTTTTTCAAAATGCTCATAGATAACAGTGTCGATGGAAGGCTCGGTGAAGTGTTTGAGTTTTGGAGTTTCAGTGGTTAACAGAATTTCTGCCAAATCCAATACAATTCAAGTGGTGAATAGATAATGAGTGAATTTAAATTTATCAGTGAACTACCCCTTTAAGTCTTCCGTATACGACAAACAAGTTTACAAAATGATTCCCGTTGCATGAGTGTGTTTTTTAAGGCCACAGTCATGAGGTCTGTTTTTATAAGGTTACCTTGTAAAGCTGCTGTCCTGGAGCTGTGGGCTCGCTCACTTGCATAAGTCTGCCTCTTAATCAGATCACTAACGGTCCTCATCCCGTCAACAACACGGCGGCTGGAAAAACAAGCGAGAACAAACTGTTGCCTAAAACAGAGCAAACAGCAAAACAACTTGGACTTGTTAAAGCATTAAGTGTTCTGCGTCCCTCAGGACTTGAGTCGGGTGACTCTGCCAAGATTTATATCTCTGGGTGGCTTTCACTGTTTATGTGCAGATAACAAAGTCACTGCTGTGCCATGCATTGGACCTGCAGGTTCTGTCAATGTTGACATGTCTTTCTCGTCTTTTTAGAAACTTACCAGAGTTGAGCTGGACCTGGCTCCAGTCTTATGTAACAGTCTTTGAAAACTGCCCCAGATTCGAAAAGCATGTATGTGGTAACGCCTGCTTGCATTGACGTGACCCCCCACCCCTCCATTTTTTGAGACCCTCCCTCCTGCCTTACACATCACACATTCACTCCGTGCCGCTCTGGCATTGAAAACTAGGGCAGGGTTTTCCTCTCTCCCTTTCCCTCTTTCCACCACTCGCCTTCCGCAGGCTGATGTAACAGCGTTCGGGCCAAGACACCGTGTGCCCTCACTGTAACCACTCAGCTGATTACAGGTCTTATGTAAGAAGGGATTGTTGAAGGGGAAAATGGGACAGAGTGTATGAGCCTGTTGGAGAAAAACAAGCTCTGTGCACAAAAGTGCTCATTGTGCGATTCATATATGCAGAAATATTTCCGCCCTTATCTCTTATTACCTTTTTACAAACCTGTTGCTCACGCAGTTGTAAAACTCAAACTTTTGCATAGCTGACATGCTGATGACAGCAGAAACGTGACGGCTGTTGCAATCGTGCAAGTGTAGATTTACATTTTTTATGAACATCTTTCTACAGCTGTGTTTAACTGCAGGTGTAAATGTCTCATGTCGGCATGCCTTTGTTTGTGCACACAGTGGATGCATGTACAGCAGGGTCAAAGCAGGGTCAAAGCATTGTTATTCTGCATGCATTTGAGTTTGGCTATATGTGAAATCCCTGTTATTGTCTTTTGCTGTTGCTTGTGTGTTTGTATGAGCTAACACCCAGCATAGTCCTCTGGGTGTCAAGAGCGTTGTCATGCCCTGAAGCTGGGGGGGGGGGGAGCAGATGGTGTGAAATCAGGTGAACACAAAGAGGCCTTACAGCATGTTTTCCTGCCAATGTGAGGAGCCTTATGTAACAGCGGCTCTTCAAACATCTGACTCTGTGTTTGCACGCTGCAGAAACTGAGGCAACGGCGCAATGAAAAGAAGTTACTAAAGGACAAATATCCTCTGACTTTTAGCACCTTGTTCTCTGATTGAGGTGATTTTTGAAAAGAAACATCACTGTTGAAATGTTGGTGCATTTGCTGGTGATAAGTTGAAAGTCATCATGTCAGCATGTTGGTAAAACAATAGTGAAAAAAAACAGTAGAGAGCAGAAAGCGGTGTGTAATATTTGTTTGTATTTATCTATAATTTTCACCATTTTATTCTGTTATTATCTTATCTGATGTGTGTGTGTGTGTGTGTGCGTGTGTGTGTGCGTGTGTGTGTGTGTGCGTGCGTGCGTGTGTGTGTGTGTGTGTGTGTGTGTGTGTAGTGTGAGACAAGAATATAACTGAGAGTGAACTGCTGCATGAATCAAACACATTGTCCTCTCTCACATTCTTATTCCAGCGGTCACTCTACCATCGTCTGACAGGTGACAACAAGTCAGAGAAATTCTTTAAGGTCTTTTATGAGCGCATGAAGTTGGCGCAGCAGGAAATCAAAGCTACCGTGACGGTCAACACCAGTGACCTGGGCAGCAAGAAAAAGGACGAGGAGCCGCCAGACAAAGATGTGCCAACACGCAAGAAAGGTCAGGGGTCAGGAGTTTAGGTCGGCCAAGATAAAAGGAATCATTAACTAGAGAGAAACTAGAAAAATTCCCAACTGTTGACTTCTGTGTACTAAAGGCCTTTTGTTTTGGAGTTTACTCTTTCATTTCTCTATTGATTTGAAGTCATTTATTACAGTATGAAGTCATTAACACTTCCTGAATAAACACACGTCAATAAAACGTTATATTTCCCTGAAAAAACTCTATCATGTCAAATGATATATAAGAATAGCTGCATGAATATGTGACTTCTTCAAATGAGGACTCATTGTTTTACCCACTTTCCTGTACCTGTGGTCAGTCAAAGATGTACTGGTGGTGGCCGTGGTGACTGAGGAGGTGAAGGAGCAGCTGGTGGAGGCCTCCGCCGTCACCAAGAAGGCCTTCACGACTTACCGCCGTGAGGCCGAAGCCGAAGAGCACCAGGCTGCTGCAGAAGGCACGCCTGTCCCGCCTGCCGACAAAGGCCAGGAGGAGGGGGAGATGAGCGTCATCATCACCATCATGCAGCCCATCCTGCGCCTAATGCAGCTGCTCTGTGAAAACCACAACAGAGATCTGCAGGTCAGCCACTGCAGCAGCTTGTCAGGGCTTTTCCCCCCAAGGTCCCATGACACGCTAACATTTCCTGACCCGCAATCTGATTTTCAATCACCACAATCGTTTATAAAGAAATGAAACCCAGCTGAAAATAGTCACCTTTTGCATAACCTCCTGATGCAGCTGTTTCCATATCTAGGCCTGTCTTGGTCTGGTTTCACTATGAGAAGTGTGAGTTGTGTGTTTGGTAATAACATGCTCCTGCAGGCCCAGACAGAAAGACTTCCTCCTCGCACTGATTCTGTTTACACCTCAAACCAGGACCTGCCTCAGTTTAATATTGGTTGGCTCAGTGCTGAATCTCTCTGACTCGCTCGAACAAGTGTGGATGATATATTGATTAACTGCAAACCACGTAGCACAGATGATCAGTTCAATGTTTGTATTCCTTCCAAAGACATCGCTGCAGAAATTGTCTGGCTGCTGTTGACATTTGCATTCTTAAACAGAAGACAAGGCATGGTTGATGAATCACATTTTACATAAGAGAAGGAAAGAACATGTTGGGGAGGATTTCCTGAGTAGAAGCTTAAAGGAGATTTTTTGATACCAATTGTCTCATATTAAACATTTTAACAGAAATATAATCATGTTGAAAAGGATTTATCATGCTGTCCACTTGCATCACAATAATATAAGTGTTAACAGGTGTGCTTATAGTGAGTCTTCATTTTTTCTCCGTCCATCTTCCAGAACTTTCTGCGCAACCAGAACAACAAGAACAACTATAACCTGGTGTGCGAGACACTGCAGTTCCTGGACTGTATTTGCGGCAGCACGACGGGAGGACTGGGGCTGCTGGGACTTTACATCAACGAGAAGAACGTCGGCCTCATCAACCAGACTGTGGAGAGCTTGACCGAGTACTGCCAAGGTCCCTGTCATGAGAACCAGGTGATACATGTGCACACAGAAGATAATTACGGAGGCTCGCAATCTTAAAGGCTTATTTGTTCTTATGCACCGTCTACCAACTGCCTTCAGTCTGTGGACCAAGTTGAAAATGTTTTTGTCTGCAGATAAACTACAGCAGTGGTTAACTGGGTCAAAATTGATGCCACATTATTAGAGAATCTGCTTTTTTTGTATTCCACCACATTGGACTGACAGATGTTCACGGGTGCTAATCTCCGTCATGGCAACAACAGTCACTTCCTCTTTGGCAAGTTGTTTACTATGTAAAAGCACAACATTGGTTTTGTTGCCACAATGCTTTATATTAAACTGTATTACAGAGCTCTTATTCTGAAAAGTTGTGAACATGGGTCTGAAGGTTGTGTTCCTTCACAGACCTCTGAAATAGCAGTTCAGTCAATTCTTTCATACTTTTATATAAACCACACACATGAAGAGTAATAAAGCAAATTCACTTTCATTTAAAAAAAAAAGAAGACTTATAGTCTTATTGCAGATAAACCAGGTAGGATGAGCACAAAGTTCTCTAACTCTGCACCATAGACTGTTTCTAAACAATAAAAAGTGACAGTATGTTGTAGAACTGTTTGACAAGGACTCATTAATGACAAGGAATAATTCTGAAGTAGCTCCTCAGCATCAACACAGGATGACAGAACAGAACATTACAAACAGGCAGGTTTAGAACAGGCACTGGCATAGACGATGTAACTTTTCTCATTTGTCCATTTCTCTTACAAGCTGGCCTCCGTTTACGTCAGAGTGACCTTTTCATTCTAACAGTCATACTTCATGGCGGTTTTGTTTGGGTGGTTCTGTAATTAGTCCTGTGTGTTCCTCTCTTCATGCCCAGCACTCTGCTGCTGCGATGACGCTACACAGCCGCTTGTCTTTCCATAGCAGTGTTGACTCCTGCCTGCTGTGGGCAGCGTGCCTGTTTGTTCTCTGGCATGGAGCAGCTTTGCTCGTTCTCCTCACATGATGGTGGCATCCTCTGCCACTGTGGGGTCATTCGATGGCAAGTGTGACTGGCATGACTAAATAAATAACTGGATAAAATGCAGTTTGCTATTTGAACTGACAGCTCCTCCCCAACATTGCTGGAAGGGGAACTACCAGGGCAAACAAAGCCCTCTGTTCATATCCACTGAGTGCTGGTATTATTTCTGCTGGTGTTTTATTTGTGTGGTATGAAGCATCTTGATTAAATTGTAACAACATGCTCTGAACCATTTGGCTGCCACAGGCCACGGATTAGTTTTGGGGTGTGGCACATGTTTTGGCAAAACAAACAGGAATTTGGGAGCACAAAGCCAATACTCATGAAATTACACCAAGAATAATAAAATGTGACCCACCTCATCAGCACATGACTGCGTTGAGGTTGCTAAAATTATGAGGCACCGTGAAGGGAACAAATGCCAGTGAATTAAAATTCTATTAGTTTGCCAGTTACAGTTCAACAACTTTTTCTCCTGGGCAAAGGTTTGAATTCAGCCTGATCCACGCTGCTGCAAATCAGTCCCATCTCAGAAAGGGATAAAATATCCCTATCTTCTTTATACTCAATTTATCTGTGTATTTTATTGTTGAAACACTTAAGGAATTGTTTTGATGACAGAAAGGAGATAAACTACATAAAAGAAGTTATGTTTCCATCCCAGTCTGTAGTATGGGGTGGTGATAATACAGCACATGTAGTTCAATTCCGAGTTATGCTTTATACAGTTATGAGGGATAAATAAAGAGGTGGTATATGGATCTAAACACACGGTGCATAAAAATAGATGCATTATATTTGCATACACCTTCACACAAATACATGAAACCACAGGTACCTGCATCATACTTATATGTGACTATATTCCATTGCACACACACAGATAATCATCCACATGAAAGTGAGAACATAAGCATGCATGCCACCCTCAGCTCAAGAGGCTGTGTGACAGATTATGTCCTGTATAAATGTGTGTGGGTGCTTGAATGGCAAAACTGTTAACTAATGTCATTATTTAGCATCAGTATAAACAGTCAGTAAACCATGGGAATTGAACTTTTAGATTAAACATATTTATCTGTGTTTTTTAAAGAATAAAAAAACACTTTCATTTACTTTCATTTCATTGGATCTTCAGAACTGCATCGCCACTCATGAGTGCAACGGCATCGACATCATCATTGCTCTCATCCTGAATGACATCAACCCCCTCGGCAAGAAGAGGATGGATCTGGTGCTGGAACTCAAAGTGAGTTATTGTTGGTTTGATGAGCAGAAACACTTGAAAATGCAAAATGAGTGTTACACAAGAGCGTCTTGTGTCTTTCCTTCTCTGATTGATGCTGTTATTTTTCATTCTCCTGTGGAAAAACGTGTTTCATGCTGACAAGACATCACATGAGTTTGTTACGAAAACACCAGAGATTAAAATCAGTGAGAGTTTTAAAACGTAAAAATATGCCATGACATAAACTTGTGAATTTATTGTGCTAATTAAACCACAGACAGTTTCCTGAAGCGTAATGATTGTGATCTCAGTCACAGCTCCAGGCTGAACTGAGAGCACATATTTCTTTACAGATGATCTTTTATTAGAAATCAGTGAGTGAAGAGAATCTTGTAACAGTGGTGGCTAAAAATACAAATTTGACACATTGAAAACAAGGATCAATCATATATTTACACTTTACATTGTGGAAAACTGAACACCAGGTAAACAGAAATCAAACCGGCGTCGTCGGTTCTCTCTCATCTTTCTGTAGAATAATGCTTCCAAGCTTCTCCTTGCAATCATGGAGAGTCGCCATGACAGCGAGAATGCCGAGAGGATCCTGTACAACATGAGGCCTAAAGAGCTGGTGCGTATGATGTAATTCAAATCAGCACATGGTTGGAAGTGGATGTTATGTGACAATCTTATGTCTTGTTGCAGGTGGAGGTGATAAAAAAAGCCTACATGCAGGGAGAGATCGAGGTGGAGGAGCCGCAGGAGGGTGAGGATGGCGAGGAGGAGCACTCTGCATCCCCACGGAATGTCGGCCACAATATCTACATCTTGGCACATCAAGTAAGCCGACAACTTTCCCTAACATCAGCAGAGGCCATCACACTTAGGAGCAAATGCTACAGCACAAGCATGTGGTATATTATAACATGGTACATAAGCGATTGATGTTCAATGGCTTCCCTGTTTCTGCATGTCTGCGTCGTGTCCTGTGGCTGCTAAAGACATGTGATACCAGTCGCTCTGCACTTATCTGCTCTTTTTCTGCCCCTGGGCGTGTGCGCTGCTCCCTGGTAGCGCATCTGCTCACGTCAGGATTTAGGTTAACAACAACAGTTATAGTTATGCATCAACAACTGTCAGTCCACACCCTGCAGCCTTGTGGTAGAATGGAGGGAACATCCGGCGTTGTCGCCCGGTGTAAAGCTCAAATGTTTACTGTAAAGCAAACAGTTTGTTAATGATAAAACTTCTTCTCTGGAATGAGTGTGTGTCATCGATGTGTTCATCATTGTTTTAATGATGGTGTCATTTCAGTTAGCTCGTCACAACAAGGAGCTGCAGGCCATGTTGAAGCCGGGGGGGACGTACGGAGAGGGCGATGAGGCCCTCGAGTTCTACGCCAAACACACGGCTCAGATCGAGGTTAGTTTTCTGAATAAGGCTGGATCTGCTTCTATCGTGTTTACATTTTATTTTGATTAATATTATTTGAATATAATAAAAATACAACATAAACCCCAAGTTTTATTGTGAAACTTGTCACATCCCCTCATCTATTTTAAGAGATCTGTGCCAGCATGAGACGATTGCGCCACATTTGGCATTCAGATTAAATGGAGTCATGTGATGCTGTTTTTGCTGGCCCGCTTTGAGTCTCACCCTGTACCCTGACAGAATGACGAGCCATTCAGGCATGTTTGCACGTTTTCGTGTGCGTACGCAGTGAAAAGAAGGAATGCTGATCTGTGGCAGTGTTGTGAACCAAAGAAGCTGTTGGTTCACTGTCTGGGTTTACAGTGACAGGGATTGTGTGATTTGTGGCCTCCGCTGTGGTTCTGTCCAGATCGTGCGACTCGATCGCACCATGGAGCAGATCGTCTTTCCCGTCCCCAACATCTGCGAGTTCCTCACCCAAGAGTCTAAGCTGCGTGTCTACTACACCACTGAGCGGGACGAGCAGGGCAGCAAGATCAATGACTTCTTCCTGCGCTCCGAGGACCTGTTCAATGAGATGAACTGGCAGAAGAAGCTGCGAGGTACTCAAGAGGCCACTGGTAACACGAACACGGTTCCCTGTACGTTTTTCTCCTCAACTCTTTACCTTATTGTGCCAAGTTTACACGATTTCCTCGACCCATCCCTCCAGGGCCCTGAATAGAGTGGCATAATAGAATACAATAGATGACATCAGTTATGAGCGGGAACTGGAGACAAAATGTTCCCATAGGAATTCAGTCTGGCAAATTTCCCAAACTCCTCCTCCACATCTCTCAGTGTCAAAACCCATAACACGCAGCACAATAAAGGACACAGTGCAGAACTGATTATTTAAAGTAATTGGACAGAAAATATTCTTAAGTTTTCAATTCTGAACGCTACTGAGACAAACAGCCCTGATTATAAATAGTTTAGGGACAAGAGTCACCTCAGCCTCACAGAGCGTGGCACTCATGAAACTACAAATATTACAATACAAACATAAATCAAACACACTCTCAGATGTCAGACTCTCAGATTGGTACAAACTTTCACCCTCATCTATGACAAACACCACACTCTCAGGTTTTAGATGAAAAACACTAGAGCAGCAGAACAGGAAGAAGAAGAACAGTCATTTTGGATATGTTGTTATGTGTTAGTTTATGCACAGTGAGGTAAAGTATCCACCTTTAAGTGTTTTAAGTTTTTGCTTAATCCTGGTAACAAACAAACAAATCAACAAACAAACAAATGGACAGGCGTGAAAAGATAACCTCCTTGACAGAGATAATAACTTGTTAACAACTCAATCTGTTTTTACACTGGTCTGTGATTGGCTAATGAGAGCCAGTTCTACTTAACAGTTCTATCAGGTCATCATTGGTAAAGGTGTGAAGACAGCTGCTTATCTCATTTTCCAGATAGAGTCTGCCAAATAGTTTTCTTTCATTTCTGTAATTTTATTATCTGACTAAAGCTCACGCGAAGTTCAATAGAAAGATCCAAAGTTACATCATGCATCTCTCAAACAATTTCACTGATAAACTCAGTTAATGTACTTTAATTTGACTTTACTTTTTAGACTTTTTTAACATTCAGTTGTTATAGTACAGTAGCACTAATGGAGAAATAAATACAAATAAAATATATTGATAAGCAGATACGACTAAATCGTTCTGATGATTGAGTTGAGAAAAATATCGTAGGACTCACATGTGAAAAGGGGCTGAACACTGCTCCCTCATCTCTGAACCCTGGAGGAATGGAAGTGAAGAGAACATGTAAACTGTTTAAATGATGAGTTATATTATAAGTTAATAAATGGTGAAAATGGATTAACGATATATGCTCACGAGAATGTAGTAGAATGAACGTTTTTTGTCTGGAAAAAAAGCTGTGGCTGGTGTGTGCTATTTTTCTGCTTTATATGTGCATAATGTGGGCAGTATAAATAGATGTGTCTCATTTGATAGAGACAATTGGCCTCATATGAGAGTGTGAATCCTGTCAACGTAAGCTGCTTTCAGACTGAACTCCGGAGATCCCCTGCAGTTTCTCCAGAGGAGGTGTATGTGTGAACGCAAATGTCTGAGTGAGAGCCTCTGGATTTCCTGCAGAGTTTCTCCGCCTGGCGCCCTGTAATATAAAATCTGCAGAAAGTTTGGAGGAGCCAATGTTAGAACCCAGCAGGGGATCCTCCGCTGGATTCACAGCGAGCGAGTGGGGGGTTGATCACGCTGCAACAGGAGCAAAAATGAAAAAAAGAAAGAAAACAAATATCACCAGATAAAAGAGTTAAGCCATACACGTAGATGACTCTGTGACTGATTAAATGTCAAGAGAGTTTGTGGAAATAAGAGCCGATGGCGGTGTTGATGTGACGTCGTCTCGGCAGCAGAATGAATATGTTCCATCCTGCCTCTGTCTTTTGCACCCCAGAGTTCCTCTGCAGGTCATGTCTGAAAACAGCTTGAGTTAGCACGTTGCTCCATGTCAGTCCCATCCTACAGGGATCAATTTGAAGAACTGATTTCTGTTCAGTCACATGTTTCACATCTGAAATGGCAGACTAGTAAAGGCTGGGTAGTGGACACAGGTTATCTCCTGAGTCAGGAACAGAAAACCCTGACAGTAGAAACTGTTTGCAGGAGATCCAGACAAAATGTTCACATGGAGTAAATCAGTAGTTCTCCTTGTTTTTAGCTTTAGTTTTCTCGCTAATCTTAAATACCAAAGTCTGGACGGCCAGAGCACTTTTCCAAGTTTATCCTTAACCAGGGCACGTCCCTGTGGACCCGGTTAACCCTGATGGATTCTCTGTCTGTGAAGTGACTGCTCTCTTTGTCTGGTTTTCGGCGCATGGTGTGACCTGTCCCATGGTCCCGCCTGAAGGAAGATGGTTTAGAGACAATATCTTTCCACTTATCGTAAATATATATTGACTTCTGCTGCTAAAAGTGTCCACAATCAGTTCTTCTCTGAAGAACATCTTGACTCAGAATAGTGTTGGCTGTGCATGTATAGATGCAGATTCTTGTGCTTTTACTCCTCAGAGTAGAAAATCCTTTAGAGCGTGAAATGTGCATGACAGTGGATTTTGTGTCTTTAAATGGGTTCAATTTGTGCCTGATTTTAAACTTCAAAGTGAAGCCTTTGTTTACAGATTTGCTGCATATTATGGGACTTAAAACCACACAGACCCCCTTTTAACGTTTGACCCCAAATTGACTACATTTGTCTGATCACAAATTTAATGCTCGACTTAGAAGTATTCAGTGCGATAGAGTATCGGGGCAAAGTCGTAATATTACACAAATGAAACGTAATTTCACGTGAATAAATTCAGAATATTACAACTTCATTCTCCCTAAAGAAGTTGTATATTCCAAAGAAAGAACCACATGGAAGTTGTCTCCTTTGTGGAGGAAGGAGGAAATGTTTTGGTGTTCTTGTAATATTGTCACTTTATTCTTTTAATATATACTTTTTTCTCCTTAAATTACAACTTTTATATCTCCTCAATTAAGACTTTTTAAGATTATTTTTAAAATTGCAACTTATTCTCACAACATTGCAACTTATGACCTTGAAATAATAATAATATCCTATTAAAGTCTAGTTGGACAACAAAAACCTCTCAAAATTGTTCTGCTGCTGTTGAAGAAGCAAGAAATTCTATGACTGAAGTGTATCTCAACCCTCAACCTTTCCACACCTCATGATTTACATCCAGTGCCACTGGTTAGTATCAGTGCAGGGACTACTTCTCCCAATTTGATGATGCTGACTAATTGTTGAAGTTGCCCAACCTTATCCAAACTTAAATCCTAATCAATCTGTCCTAACTATGATCTTTAACCTAACCTGAACTATACCGCAGCCACAATGCTGAGATATTGTACAAAGTGTGAATGTTACAACTGTTGGTAGCACTGGACAATGTGCCATCAATGAATATCAGTTTATGTCTGAAAGGCTTTGACTACATTTGACTGGAAATTACATTTAAATCACAACACCTATGCACGTTTCGCCTCTTTGTTGTGATGTGTTTTGTTTTCACCGTAAAGTGAAACAGTGATAAATTGAGTTTGCTCTTTAGCACGGTTTATGTGGAGTATAGTGTGCATGATGTTCCTCCGCAGTGCTGACTCTCTGCAGGACAACAACTTACATTAATCTGCCTCTTCACCCTCCTGTCCTGCAGCCCAGCCCATCTTGTACTGGTGCTCCAGGAACATGTCTTTCTGGAGCAGCATCTCCTTCAACCTGGCTGTGCTCATGAACCTGCTCGTGGCTTTCTTCTACCCTCTGGAGGGCATTCACAGAGGTCAGTCACCTGCAGTCTTCACCTTTAGTGTTTTGACAATGTGGTTAATAATAGTTTGACAACAGGAAATTGGAGTGAGTGACACAAACTCCACCCCGTTCAGGAGAGGCCCGGGGTGGAGCAGGTGGAATATAGTACATACTGTATCGTGCATTACCAGAAACCTGTACGGCAGTGATGAATTAAGAAAAGAAACTAGGTCATTGGATTGTTAGACTAATTGACGGCCTCCAGGTGCAGCTGCAGGGCGTGAATATGTGGAAAAAACATCTAGCGGCAGAGTGCGTTAAAGCCAAATGTTGTTCTGCACAAAAGTGGTGAAAACGAGATGTTGTTTGTGCCAATTTTTTTATGTTTTCAAACCCACTGAATCAGCAGCCAAACCCACTTTAAACAGAAATTGCCATGGGTGAAAATAATCACAAATGGACCTGTGCGTTTGCAGATTTTGAACTGAGATGGGATTGCATTGTGGGTATCATGGGCACCAGGTTCTGACAGGGGCGGTAAATGCATGAAGTGAAAAGGGCAGGGTCTCTGATTCTGCTGCATCACTTTTCTTTTTAACTCTCCGCTGTGGATTTGACAGAGGCCAATGCTTAACTGACAGACTCTTTACCATGACAACAACTGCACCTCCACCAAGTTAAGACCTCAACACAGATCATTTCCTGCAGTGTGCAGAATAGTTGCTTCCTCATCTTCCGTCACGGCCTGAGCATCTGTGTCCCAGCGCTTGCAGTCATACATGAATTCACTGCCACTGGCGTGTGATCAGATCACTCTTGCTGAGATGTGTTATTAGTGTTAGGTGTGTGCAGGACTATATAGAACACTGTGTCCTCCTGTGCCTGTGATTTGGGTGTAGCCTCACACCTCCCTAACCAAAGTGAGTTTCACCACAGGTGGAGGAGTTGTGCTGAGAATGTAATCCTAGCTGGCAGTCTGCATGTGAAACTGCAGCACTGTCACCAGGGCCAGGATAGATTTGCTCTTAATTGGGTCCTTACCTGAGTGATACTGTTACGTTTCCTAGCTGCGACACTAAGACATTACTTAACATGTTATCAGATTTCTACTGTCATTCCCTGGCTGGCTTTTGGTCTTAATAGATGTCTTCTCCATCCCTTGTGGTAACAGGTCTGTAGCTGTGTGTATTTGTTAGTGTATAGAATGACATAAAAACTACTCATGTAACCCACAACACTTCATTCTTGATTCAATCTGTTTATTACTTGGCAGGATTACACAAAAACCACTCTACTGATTATTAAAATTTGGTGTGTGGTATGATCCAAAGAAAAATCCATCTAATTTTGGTCCCGATCTGGATCACGGGGGTTTCAAGGAGTTTTCTTTTAATTTCTTTGCAATAATTCCGACAGAATTCATTGGATTTTTGGCGTTAGGGGGGCGCACATGCAGAACAGTTGCTCTCATGTGCAGCATATCCCGAGTGACGGGTACACAGACCGAAAGAGAAGATCGCATGTAACATAGAGAACTGCATTACATGCCACTTGGAGCTATGTGTAAAACTGCAGCTATATGAGATGGAAGCATGGGATAGCACAAGCCAGCACACAGCAAATACAGCTGTACCCAACTATACACTGCAGCCACAGAGCAAAACACCAAGTTAGAGATAATTTATGTTATTATGAAATATGTAAAAAAAAAAGTTGGTTTATTATGAAACTGAGGTGGGGAACATTAGAACATGGCGTAGATGATAAATGGAAAAACAGCTTTGACATGGCGAGAGGGAGCATTAGCCTTGGCGGAGGTATGAGCCCTTCTAGTTTATTTGTCTGTTTGTTAGCAGTACTACATAAAAACCACCTCACCCAAGGAAGACCCTATTAAATGACATTTTGATTTTTCACCTCAGGGAATAATTCAGGGATCTTGATGACAATTGGTGCAGATCCATATAAAAATCTAAATTGAGTGAATTTAAATGTGGTTTCATAAGGGGACTGTTGAACCTTCGTGGAGAAGCTCGCCCAGTGCCAATATAGTTTTAAGTCCTGTCATGCAATAATAAGCTTTGACTGTAAAATTGGCCACCACTGTAAACACCAGAGCAGATTATCTAATAGTCAGCCCTCCTTGTATCCTCAGTTTGACATGTCTCTTAGAGAAAGTAGAGAACCAAAACCACCCACAAACATTTACTGAACAGCCTTTTACAAGACAGGACAATGTTGGTGACATATTTCAAAATCCTGCTGTCGTCTGACAACATTCATTCTGATACTGAAAGTGCAGGTGATGTCATCTATTGCTTCTCTTGAGTTTTTCTTGCGTCCTATCCTCCTTTGATATTCTGAGGTACTTCCCAGTGTTTGTCAGCAACAGTATTTGACAGGAAGTAAACATGGACCAGAGCTGTTTCCTTGAATAGAAGTTATCATATCTTAATTATTAGTTTCTGACTGGGGTCTGCATTCAGATTGGATTAAGCATTGTGACTTTGGGCTTGATTATATTGAAGTGCATTGAAACCAAACAAACAGACGCTAGTTGAATCATCAGTTGAAGTTGATCAGTTGATCTAATGAAATGGATATGGTGTGATATTTTAGTACAGTACAAGCATTGGAGTTATGTGTCGATCAAAGTGAGAATAGACCAATGCCTACCATCCCTCCCCCATGACCTGAACGTACATAATGAAACTGAAAATTCTTTTAATAACAACAACAACATAAATCCAGTCCATAATAATTTCTTTTTTTGTTTAGACTATCTTATGTTCTGATGTTTGAATGTATTTCTGCATTCTAATAAGAATGTTAGATGTTCATTTAAAATATAGTTGAATAATTTCTATGTACAAGAATGGCTCTCAGTAAAGTGTATACCTCCGCCAAGGCCCAACAGTCGCCGTATTTGTATGTGCGCATTATATACATATTTCGCGTTCTTGAATCTATTTCTTTTTTTATTCTATAAAGCCTTTTTTATTCACTTATCTACCTCATTCTGCTGCTGTAACATGGTACGTTTGTCACTGTGGGATCAATAAAGTATATCTTTAATTCAATCAAGCTCCACCAAATTTCACACACTTATAGATATCACTAATTACTTCACTTAATTTACCTTTTTGTCAAAATCCATGAATTCTTATTTGGGAAAATGTTGAAAAGCACCATCTTGCAACGTTAAGGAAGTGAAAAGAAAATCATGGGTCAGTCCCCTGATGTGTTTTTTCCCCTGACAATTACCATATCCTTCCTTGTTTTGATTTTGTAATCTTGCTTAAAAAGAAAGAATCAAACTGGGCTGAAAACATGACTTCCTTAACTAATAGTTAATAAGTAACATAAAGGGGAACAACTCTCAGAAAAAAAGGGATAATTGAGCCTCTTTGTGGGATCCACATGTTTGACCTCGTTGCCCTCACCATATTAACCCCTGGTCATTCGGCTTCTTTCATGTGACCTACATTTTCAGATTTAGTTTGTGAACATTTGTCTTGTGCTGGGTCACGCATTGTAAGAGATTACTCTTGAGCTGTGTGGGTGATAACATGAGAGACAGGCCTGAGCATGTTTTAATGCACAGTTTCAGTTTTCTGTTTGTCCTGTCGTGGTTATTCTTTCATTTTCTCTCTCAGTTCTCCTTGAGGGCAGTGTTTGTGGGGATTTGAAAAGCCGCAGCCATTAAGGCCTCCATTGTTCTCGTGCAGGGCGGCAGAGAGAAGACACACATTGTGATTCGCATAAACTTTCGATTGTTCTATCTAGGGTCAAACGGCGAGGTCCCTTTTGTTTGAACTTCCTCAAAGCGACACAGAAGAGACCAAAAAAGAGGTTGTTAGCTTAGCGAAACTGCATGTGGTTTTCAGTGTCAAAGGTCATGTGAGAGCTTAGTGGTTCATGCCGGGACACTCCAATCAGTGCGAGCTGGTTTGAGGGGATGTTTGCTCGTTATCAAGCGAAAAATCTTTAATTAATTGTTCAGTTTGTCATAGTGAATATTGATCGTCACAGTGTCCTGGATTCTGACAAGTTCATACGTTTGTTGATATTTAAGTCAACTTCTTGAACCAAACTTCTCCTGTGAATTTTATTTAAGAAAGACAACTTGACATTTGACATTAGGATTCATTCATAGCTTTAATGTTAAACTTGCAGAACAAGTGCAGTATCTGTTCTAAACCTGCCTTTTTGGAATGTTCAGGTTGTGTTCATCCTACCTTGTTTATGTGCAGTGAAGATTTTATAGTCAATGTGTTTCATTACTGTTTACGTGTGTGGTTTATATATAAGTTTGATTGATTTAGGAACTGGTGTTATATTTTCATACATTGCATGTGGGCTATTTCAGAGGCCGGTTGAAAAATCGTCACGATCTTCAGGCGCAAATTCACAACTTTTCAAAATAAAAGCTCTGAAATTCAGCTCAATTTAAAACATTGTCGAAACAAACACACATTGTGATTTCTGCTTTGAAGACAAATTGCCAAACAGAAAGTAATTAAATTAATGTTGTTGCCATGACAGAGCTCAGCACCTGTGAATGTCCGTGTCACGCTTCTCCCCCACTGACTGCTACAGCGCGCCTGTTGCCTGTTTGTTGAATTTTTAGTCATATTAAATGTATTGCGTGTCGAAATCCCACCAAACCCGGCACTGCACTTCACTTCATCAACAAAACGCACATTAAGTGTGAAGCTGATAAGATAAATGGTTCTTATGCGTTCCACACACAGACAGACATTTGTGGACTTATTAGGTAGATGTAGAGGCAATTTTAACCGTGAAGAAAAAACATTAAACTTAATTGGCACTGCTGCTCAGTGGGTATGTCTCTCAGAGAACGTTCCTTCTGGGTGGTTTATTTGAAAAGAAACTGGTTGTGAACACCTTGAGTAACCCCAGGCTCCACACCTTCTGAAGCTTAATGCTGTGCTTTAAGTCAAACAATGATAGAAATGAGGAGAAGTGAAGTAAAGCCGGTTTTCACGCTGCGGCAGACAGATCCCATCGGTTTAATGTGAGTGGTTTTACTGTAAAGGTCACTGTCTCTGTCTTCATAGATCTACAGAGTAAGCAGAGACGACTGAACTTACTGACTGTAGGTGTTTGTGTATTCCACGCCGCTGCGTCTGGGTTGGCTGCCAAGTCCGCGCGCAGTGCCCAGGACCAGGCCTGATGAATTCAGATGGAGCCAAGTGTATTTTTAGCCAGTCGGGGAGTTATGCAATGAATAGCTGTCATGTGATCAGTGCCCGGAGAGGCGAGAAGGAGGAGGCCTCAGAATGGAGGGCACAGAGGGAGACATTGAAAGTCCTCATGGTGCATCAGAGATGAGAAAAACTGACCGATCTTTCCAGCTTGATAAATGCTTAACCTAACTTCAACCTAAACCTAACATTAACCTTAACCTGCGGTCAAGGAAGTCCCCATAATTAGGTCCTGGACCACATGATGACATGCGATGACACAAATTTGTATTGTTAAAAGTTAACCACAATAGCTGTGGTGACCGCAAACATGAAGAAGTATGAAATAAAATGAAAACAAATTTACTTTGGTGAGGCCTTAATGTCTTTACAAGACATATGCACTAAGTGCGACCTGTCACATGCTTACGTTTTCTTTACTTGCAAGTCGAGAACAGTGTCCACAAACCCCGACAACCAGCAAAGTCATCACAATTTTATACACGTTATTTTCATGTGTTCTGGGATTGTGCCAAAAATCTGCAAGACGGTCGCCTCTAACCTCTCCGAGCAGCTATCAAGCTGCAATGTTCACCTGTTGCCCTCGATCTGAATGACTTGACAAAGTTGGGTCTTATATTTAGTTGCACACTTGTAGCAGCCGATGTATCTGGATGTTATATACTTGATTTTGACTGCTTGAGTCCAACGAGTGAAGGGATCAGTTATAGAGCCTCCTCAAAATATTTTACAATGAAATTCTATTAGAGCGGGCGGCCTTCATCTTGGGGATCGGCATTCGTGTTGTTGCAAGAATGTTGCTTTGCAATTTTGCTGTATAAATGAATATATATGGCATTGCTGAATATAGCCTGCACGCTCAGCATACTTTTGCTGCACCTGAAAATGTGTATTTATATTGATGGCACAAATTTTTCTAAATATGCAAAAAGCTTGAACTGGGGTGCAGGTGTTTTTACAAGTTTAAATTCATGTTAAAGTTTAGTGTTGTAGAAGTATGGTGTGTCTCTTGGTGAGAAGAACACAAAGTTTGCTGAGTCCCTCCCTAATGCAACCTTCTTCAAACTCAGGAACCCTGGAGCCACATCTGTCGGCCCTGCTGTGGATGGCCATGCTGGTGTCTCTGGCTATAGTCATCATATTACCTCAGCCTCACGGCATCCGGGCGCTCATCGCCTCCACCATTCTGCGCTTGATCTTCTCTGTCGGCCTGGAGCCCACTTTGCTCCTGCTGGGTGGTTTCAATGTACGTGTTCCTTAGTGTTACATCTATGTTTTCTATATAATAAGGTACAGGGTTAAATTCACCTCACCACAAGATGTAGTCACACGCCAAACATTAATTTAACATTAACCTATTGATGCAGGACTAATACCATGACTCTCAGTAGCATAGTGCAACATTTACAATTCAGCTAAGTTCTAACGAAGTCTATTTATCATTATGAAGTTGTCCATGATGCTAATAGTATTTCAGCATCTCCTCCGAAACTAGATTAGGAATATTATCATTTTCAAACTCTGAAAAAATGCTTTGAAAGGTTGAAAATGTGTTTAAAAACTTGAAATTCTTGAAATCTCAAGCCTTTAAACATGCTTTTTTAAACATCCTGTTTTTGCATAGTTGAGCTTTGCCCACACATTTGCAAGCCTGTGAATCACATGATCTTTGGCAGTGTTCTCCTGCAGCTCGGATTGAAACTCTGAAATCAAGTCGTGATCCGCAAAGCAGGGGTGTATTTCAACCTATCAAAAAGAAATATCAGGGCTTTAAAACATCACGATCATGCAAAACCTTTTTAGTTCATTTTAAGCTTTGAGAGACTATTGCATGATATGCTGTTTTGCATGATATTTATCCCATAGTTTTATCCCTTCACACCTACAACCCAACACTGCTTTAACAGTAGGAGTTTCCACACTACAACCACATCCAATTAATTTTTAATCATTTAAATAATGGCCATTTTCAAATCTCTCCCAAAGACAGAAATACTGCTATGACAACAAATGAGTAAAGATTACTCTCTCACTTTGAATAATTCTGTATGTTATCTGTGTTTGTCCGTATCTATTCAGTTATGTAATAAGGTCATCTTCCTGATGAGCTTCGTTGGGAACCGGGGAACCTTCACACGAGGTTACAGAGCCATGATCATGGATGTGGAGTTCCTGTACCACCTCCTCTACCTGATCATCTGCAGCCTGGGGGTCTTCTACCATGTCTTCTTTTACAGCTTGCTGGTATGTTAGCACTCACAAAAGCTTTATAATCTAAACCCAATATAGACACTGACTAGCAACAATGTCCAGCTCGTCCTGAATTGGAATATAGAGGGTGGTTGTTCATTTGCATTTCAACACATGAGAATCATGAGATCAAATAGATTTAGATGCCATTTGATTGCTTTGAAACGTTTCATTTAACCATGAGATGTTGGTAATGAAATAATTTAAATAAAGCCACAAAACTGTGGCCTATTTTTGCCCACACGGTCATGTTTGTACACACTTCGCTCTTTTTCATTCACCTTGTCCACACTCATCTCTGAATGCTCCGTCTCTCCAGCTCTTTGACCTGGTTTACCGAGAAGAGACCTTGCTGAACGTAATAAAGAGCGTGACCCGCAACGGCCGATCCATTGTCTTGACAGCCGTGCTGGCTCTCATCCTCGTCTACCTCTTCTCCATTGTGGGTTACATCTTCTTCAAAGACGACTTCATTTTGGCTGTCGACAGAATACCCAACAAAACACTGGGTACGTTGAAATGCAGGTTTCTTCTCAATCCTTCACCGGGACAGACATAAATTATTTGCCCTCTCTTGACCCAGAGAGTCAAGAAGCATGGAATGTCTTTTACACACACACACACACACACACACACACACACACACACACTAAGTCTGAAAATGCATGAAATCAAAGTGAAGCTAAGAAATACAAACAGAAATAAATGACACTGCTTTACTTCCATGAATGTGGTTTTCCTTGCTTTTAGCATCAGCTGCAATCTCGCCACGTAAACGATTTCTCTGTTAATAATATGCATTGTGAAAAAAATCATAACGTGCTGATTGTTCCGTTGTAAACGTTTTGTCTTCCCACTTGAACAGAGCATGGAGCCAGTATGGTGGGAGAGTTCTTTTCAGGTGGAGTGTGTCAGAAAGAAAACAGAGAAAACTGCTCAGAGGCCATGGATGGTAAGCTGACAAAAGTGGAGCATAAGCGTGCGTGTGTGTGTGAGTTTGTGCATGTATGTTAGTGGGGTGGAGTTTAGGTGACAGGGTCAAAGGGTTCTTTTAAGTTTGAGTTCACATGTTGATGCATTCCTGTGCCTCAAGAGATTCCCGTGTGTTTGTGTGACCATGTTCTTATGTCTGCCTAAGTTCATGCTTGTGAGTGTGAGTATGTGAATTTCCTCGCTGACATCTGACTCAGTCAGAGGAGATTCGTTCCACTGAGCTGCAAATCTGGTCAGTGGGGTGGTCATGGGATCAAACCTGGCTGGGCCGGCTCAGGGGAGTTCAGGGAGCCGGGTGAAATGCTGAGGGTTTAGACTCCTTGTGTGTCTCAGGAGAAAGAGCTGATGTTGGGGCCCAGGGTCAGAAGGTCACGAATTAATTACCATCAGGTACTAGTAGGTCGATGAGTGCACCCTGTGAATGGTGCAGAGGGTGTCTCGCTGCAAACAGCGAGTTCTTGCAAACCGGTTGACCTTGAAGGGAAAAGCCTCCAATCAAAGAGTGCCACTTCACTTCAAGATCAGTCGCCACTGAAACTGAGCAGCTGACTGCGCTGAATCTTCAAACTGCATGGAGTCTCACCTCATCTGGGCTTCCCTATCCATCATCACCAGGCTGGCCAATTATGTCAGTCTGGTGACTTGTTATTGTGTGAACATTTGAGAAATATCTTAGCCTCGTTAGGTTTTCTAATGGGGTTAATTCAATTAACTGTTAATTAATGACAGATAATATAATAAGGATATAAATTCATATAGTGTTGCTAGTGTATTGGATATAAATACGTTTTACACACATTTATGAACAGATGCAGCTGATCGATCAGACAAAGTTTTGCATTCGGCTCTTACAGTAAATTACTATCTGTTTCCATAGCTTCCATTGCCATCCAGCCGTCAGCAGTGGTCATCGAGGACAAGGAGCGATCGTGTGACTCCTTACTCATGTGCATTGTCACAGTATTGAGTCACGGCCTCAGGAGTGGAGGAGGTGTCGGAGACGTCCTGCGGAAGCCGTCCAAAGAGGTAAAAAAAGAACCAGGAAAAATCGTGAAGAAATCACACCCAAGTCAGGTTTAGATTCAGAGGAACAAGAGTCATTATACGTCCAAAAACATCCATCTTTTACTCCTTTCGGGAGATGAAGTTTGGAATCTGTTAGATTACAATGCACTTTTAGTCCAAACTCTACTACTGACAACAATAGAATGCAATACATCCTTAAATCCTTAAACAAGCTCCCCCCCCAGGGTGAACAATTAAATTCAAGTATGGATGGAGAAAATTGCCATCAGATCTAATGAGAGCCCTTGAGAGGATTGATGTACTGTGTATTTAATTTTCTCAGAATATAAAAAGTACATATTTGACCCAGTAAGCAAACATTGTTGGCCAGCCCCTTGATGCCCTGTGTGGAGTGAAGGGGCGCATTAATTGTGTTTCTCCAGGGTGAAGACCAGCTTGCATACTGCCACAGCATGTGTTGCCTTTGCTGCTTTGACCCATAGAATGAGGCCATGACTCATTAGACTTATTTAAACCTCAGTTATCTTAGCATTTGTGTGAAGTCTCTGCACTGGTTTCTGTTGTGTCAGGTGGTGGGGCGACAAGGGCGACCACTGTGTTGTCCAAGTGACAGCAGTAAAACTACACGAGTGGGGCTCCACATTACTATAATGTGGAAAATTAGAAAACTTTACTTTTCAAATAAAAGTGAGATATTTGGATTTTGAAGAGTGTATTCTTCAAATTGCTTAACAAGTGAGTAGATAATTAATATTATCAACTTAATATGTGCCTATAACTTTAATAGCTTTTGAATAACTAAAATCCAATTTGCACATTGGAAAGTCAATCTATTAAATCCAAATAACCCTTGTCTGTGAACAATGAGTGAACTTTTAATAGGTGGAGATTCTATGTGTTTATGTGTGTGTGTGACATCACTTTATTATCTCATGTCAAGTTTTTTTCCACTTGCTCCAACAGGAACCTCTTTTTGCAGCCAGAGTGATCTACGATCTGCTCTTCTTCTTCATGGTCATCATCATCGTCCTCAACCTCATCTTCGGTGTCATCATCGACACGTTTGCTGACCTGAGGAGCGAGAAGCAGAAGAAAGAGGAGATCCTGAAGACGACGTGTTTTATCTGCGGTGAGGGATTAAATAAAAATGCATTTGCAGAGTGGTTCTAAATGATGATGTTGCAAAATGACTTCAAATCTTTTTTTTAAAACCATAAAATACATTTTATGTTCTCACTCGTTAAAGACTGAAACTAATTATAGGAATGAGACTTTGACACACGTCTCTTCTTTTAGTCATCATCTCTGTATTGTAGTCGTACTCCCTTCTTAGCAGAAATGCCTCACAGTTCAATTCAATACCCAACATACCACGCATAGCACCAGGGGTGCAGTATAATCGGCAGGTGTGAATGCCGCATGTTCACACATGACGGCAAAATCAAAAGAAATCACACAAGTGGTCTGCTGCAGGTGCTGTGTGTGTTCCTGTATGAGCATGCGACTGCTGTGATGCAGCTTCGCATCAGGGCTGTTTTTCTAGGTAATAAACAACAAAACGCCTCCTCTTCCCAGAATGAGGGGTTAGTCATGGCAAGTGCTGCTGTGGAGGAGTGGTGTTTCTTCCTGTTGTTTTATGGGTCTTGACCATGTTAGACTATACACTCATTTAGGCGTTAGGTGGCTAAGCACTCACTTATTGTCACTTCGTCTGAAGCATGTGAGCAGTCATTGGTTAGTTGTGGTCATTCTTACTGCTTTGGGTTGGGCAACTAGATTAAGGGTTATTCCTTTTTTGCAAACGCGGAGCAAACGATAGGTGACCATTTTTAGCAAGTTTCACCTCTGACGTTTTGTCTGCCCATACTCTTGTGATCCTATTTCCTCTTGTTTTGGTTTTTTCAGTCAGTCATCATCATTCAGGTCACAAGAACCGCTGTCATGTTGTAACACAAAGTGCATTTCTTCACTCTTCCAGAGAAATGAGAGCACTGTGTTTATATCCTGTGTGTGTGCTTCGTGCATGTGCATGGGGTTTGTATTATTTTGTTTCCTAGGTTTGGAGAGAGACAAGTTTGACAATAAAACCGTCACCTTTGAAGAGCACATCAAAGTTGAGCACAACATGTGGCACTACCTGTTCTTCATCGTCCTGGTGAAGGTCAAAGATTCGACGGAGTACACTGGCCCGGAGAGCTATGTGGCAGAAATGATCAGGGTAAGGATGTTTGGTGCACATGTATTTTGACTTTTCACTGTTTCAAAAGTCGAACATAGACCATATTCACACAATGGACATTTTCCTCTGACGTCAGGGTGGAAAGCTCAAATGCTGATATGAGCAGAATAACATACTACTGTGATAAATGTATAGGTCACATAAAAATAGACAAACTGTTTTCATTCCGCATACACATCTTCCACAACAAATTATTAGGTATACTCAGGTATATACTTTGACTCCTTCCCCATTGCCAGGAGGTTGCCTTTCAGTTTCTTTTTTTAATCTGAATATTCAGGTGAAAAGACTTAAAATGCTACGTGGAGAGCTTGATTACATCCAGTAAATTTGACTTACAGTTTAATATAAATGTGTCCAAAATGTGCGTAGATACTTCAATATAAAAACAGTCCTCGTGGCTAGGGAGTGGTTGAATGCTAACATTTGCTGCAACTATCAAATATGTTTAAACTCAGAGTGGAAGCGAATTAAAACCTTTGTCTACTGACCCAGGAGTGATGCTGATTATATCCATTCCAGTTTGAGACAAAAGCCAGAGGTTCGAGGACGATGATTGGTTGTTTGACCAGTGGAAAAGGGACTTTAGGGTCTTGTGAAAGTTAAATCTTTGTGTCAAATTCGCTGTGTTTATATGACCTGGAACACAGCAGTACAGCATTATTCTGTTTTTATCCGTATTTGAGCTTCCAATCCTGAGTGTGATGTCCGAGAAAAATGGCCGTCATGTGAATATGGTCTATTCAAGCAAAACCTTCAAATCTCCACTGAAGAGGAGTAGAGAATACATACATACACTCTTCAGTCCAGAAATGCAGCTCTGCCTCACGTTGTTTTACAGAATTAACATGTGATTACACATGTAGAACTACAGAACTGTGCGTGCGTCACCTTTAGTCTTTGCTGAATAACTGAATTTGTTCCTCCGGTTTGAACAGGTTCATCACTGCATCCCTTTATGTTTCTCTGTAGCAGCAGTATAAACAATATTTTTTACCTCATCTGCCCCACAGTACCAGGACTGCCTTATGTAATCCTCGCCTCTATGACCTTGAATCCTCCCAAAGCATTACAAAATGTGTTAATCCGCTGAAGCAGCCATGCCTTGCTTTAATCATTAAGCACACACACACACACACACACACACACACACACACACACCTCCACACACCTCATGGTAGGCACTTAGCCAGAGCAGGACTATGAGTGTTTTTTATCCTTTTTTTTTACATGTTGAATTACAAAACATTGCTTTAAACAGTGCATTGGAAACTGATGAGCATGCAAAAAGTGATAGGCTAGTAAGTAAGTTTGTGTGTTTTGCACAACACTCCAGATACACACAGGTCCATTTCAGCTTTTACTGTACGTCACAACTGATTACACCAGACAAAATGAACCAATTAAAAAAAAAAGTTAAAACAGAAAGAAAAAAGATTGTTTTGATAGTGCATCATAGTTGTAGCCTGTGAGCTATTAGAAAGCTTAACTGCCAAAGGAAAGCCCCTTCTTGTGAAGTGGTTGCTTCTCTGACGCACTTGTGTCGCTGTCCGCTTCTGACACAGTTTCTCATCAGATGCCATTCAGCCCACTTCACTGCCTCTAGACTTGATCTGCTACACTCAGTCTTGTGAGCAACCACCTGATTTGAGATTAACCCCCATCCTCTCTTCCACTGACCTTGCACCCCGCTGAGCCAAATTGAGTTTGTCAAGGGTCCATTCTGACCAGCGGTTTTTGAGGTGCAGCCTGAGCGGACAAGGCACACATGGTGCGAAAGACCCCGATGACCCGTCAGCTGACCCAGTCATCCTTCGCATTAACTCTCTGCTTTACGTGCAAGTGTCTGATGCCTCTTTGTAGTGTTGTCCACAAAGATTGCAGTGTTTGGTTAACACTGAATTCTCTCCTCAGTCATGTTCATAACATCATTCATGGAGATAAGGTTTTTTCCTGCATTTCCTCATGTTACTTACAAGAATTATATTTAATTTGATTCACTTTTCCACCCTTGACTTTTAAAGTGCAATGTTTGTGATTCAGATGGTAAACATAAAGAGTGAGAGAGAGAGGCGACAGTTATTTATTTTCCAATTTTTAAAAACACGAAATACATGACAAAATCCTGGGTCCAATTTATATCCAACTGAATTTAAGTTTCATTAGAGGTTCACGCTATGTAGAATTTTTTTTAGTTTGCTTCGTACCTTGAAAATGTAAAGTAATACCAGTACAGAAATACAAATCACAATCATATACTGAAGGGTGTGTTTAAATTTTGTCCATCTTCATGAAAATACTAAATATTCACATATTTTAAATTATCAAGACACGCATTTCGAATTCTGCTCTGGCACTTGTAACTAACCTCATCCATCGTGTGTGTGTCAATTGACCATATGATATAATCCATTATTCTTCACAGGTTACTGACTGGGTTTTATAACCCTGTTGATTGGTTAGTATTTGTCATAAAAGTGAATACATTTCCATATATAGCCTCTTTGCAGATTAGGGTTTCATGATTTGCGAGTCCATCTTCTTCAGTCTGTGCCGCCTCTCCCACTGTCTTTCGATTTATTTGATGCTGCAAAAAAGCAGAGGACCCACCAGGACTGAAGGGGGTGTAGAAGTCAAACTACTCTGACAATGACTGGGACTGACGTCAATGATGAAGGACTCTGAGTGCAGTGTCACATCAAAGGTGTAAAAAGGCTCGACTCAACCTTGTTGCCCTAAATTCTTTTCTTTGCCCGACACTGAAACGCCCCAGCTTCGTGAGTGAACTTAAAACACCCATAGCCACAGACATACAGCTTATTAAACTCTAACTGCCCATGTCTGTCAGGACATGGGATCATTTTTGGCATCGATTTGTATGTGTTTAGACTGTGGGCCTTCTCTCTGGCTTGTGGTGTGGCTGTGACGTTTTCTGTTGCTAGTATAACCACACAGCATCCTGTTTCTCTGTGGTTTTAGTAATAAATAAACTTCACTTCTGTCATTTCCATTGAACCATCATGATGTAGAATCTTAAGTTGGGGTTGTGTTTCTCAGTTTACTGGAAGTGTTTTCACTCGTAAACACCGAGGAAAGTGGGCAGCTCTGCTGGTGACACTGTCATCTAACAAACATGTGAGCTTTTATGTCTGTGGGCCGAGTCCTGGATGGGGAAATGACCTCTACCATGTTTAGTTCATATTTTAAACAGCATATAAAAAGAACTGAGTTTGGGAAACTCTACTGAGATAAATGTGTTTTCAAAAATATTTTATCTCCAAAGCTGTGTGAATTGAAGTACCGCTATTATAGAAACTGCACATTATACTCACTTTCTCACGTAACAAATATTGCATAGAGCATAAAGATACAGTAAGAGCCGTGTTCAGATACAGTAAGTTGGTTTGTGTTGGTAGAGGCAGGTGAAGTATATGTAAACATAACTTCAGTATCTTTGCCTTCAGGAAGTGGAACTTGCTCAGTCCTCTTCATATTTCAGAATGACTTGATGCTGCTCATTATCTTTGTGTTGTGTGATTCCCCCGCTTGGCTGCTGTCTAACCCAGGACTGGTTTGTGGTTCGGATGCAGCCATCCCACTCGCCCATGTGTCTCCAAAATCAACCACTGAAACCCGGGGACTTTTCCAGCCCAGTTCTTCAGCAGTTCTGCTGTTTTTACACTCTGACCTCAGCAGCTGTGCGGCATCCTTCCTTTTCATTCACGCTGCATTAACACTGATGGCTATGATTGAGTTCACATGACGGCGACATTCCTGCGAGTGTGGGATGTGTGTGTTTATGTTGTGAAGAATTAAACATGGATACGCTCACATGACTTTTGGCTCTGTGGGTTCAGACAGGACACAATAACAAAGGCATGTGTTGGTGAAGTGCCAGAGGAGACAGAGGCTTGAAAGAATGCACCCGAGTGACCCCTCAGCCATGTTTGAACACAACCTGCCCTGGTGTGGCTGCTGTGTCTCATGTCTCTGTCTCTGTTGTATATGTATACATGTAAATTACATAGCACGAAAAACAAATATAGTATTAAAAACATACTTATCAAGTTTGTTTATGCCTCATTATTTTGTAAGACCTACATATAAATTCCAACCAAACTTTTTCAATCATCCCTCCTCACACTCATCCTTTTAAAACATCAACACATTAAAAAAACAATTGGCAAATGTTAACACCTCCACCATCGTTAGATGTGTCGGAAACCTGTCAAATCATGGGCTCTGATAGAAAACACCATATTATGGAATCAGCTAAAATACTTTTCACTGACATAATGTATCTTCAGAGAAGTTAACGGCTCCTTTGAGTCATTCAGTTTGTCGCTTTACAAATGTGAAAGAGCTGATTAGACTTCACACATTAAGCTTTAGTGTTTCGTGAGTGCTGCAGACACCAGTGTGCAAGTCGTGAGAGTCAGAGGTCTTGTTTGTGCCGGGAGATATTGTGCTGTTAGTTCTCCTCAGGAGAAATCACTGGTGCAGCTAAGATTTCAAAAGCGTACACCAAATTCTAACCTGCCCTTAAAAGCTCCTGTGAGCCTGACAGTGACTCACAGGATCTTTCAAGGGCTGCGTGTTTATGTCAGTACGACATGTCAGGTGACGTGTGTTTAATCAAATAGGAAATTCGTTTTCTCCACTTTGTTTCACAGGTTTTTGTAAGTTAGCAGTATGTAGCATCGATAAATAAACTGCTGAAAACAAGTGATTTCAAAACAACCCCACAGCCCATATGATTGCAGTCAATAGTGTAAGCATAGAATCACTGCAAGCAACCAAAGAGAGGAAGCAGGGCCAATGAAAACACAGATCAAATGGGGCCTGGTAGTAACACACACTTGATTCCATTTGTGTTTTTTTTGTTCTTCTGCACTGAAGACTTGAAATGAGGCCAGATTATTTGATGATGTACACTTACAACTACTTACAAATGAATCACTGAAAACCTTTAAGAGGATGCCACAAGGAACGTTATAGAATTCGTTTCACTCTGTTTTTATGTACCTGCCCTAACAGTCCAGTTCTCTGTTTACCAGGATCACAACTTGGACTGGTTCCCACGGATGCGGGCCATGTCCTTGGTCAGCAGCGATGCAGACGGGGAGCAGAATGAGATCAGGAACCTGCAGGAGAAGCTGGAGTCCACCATGAAACTGGTGTCCAACCTGTCGGGCCAGTTGACGGAGCTCAAAGAGCAGGTCGGTCATCCTCAAGCACAGCACTCCGACTTTGAAACTTTGACTTCAAAGCATGACGTCTTCTCTGCATGTGGACGAGCGAACGCCGCTCGTGGTTTGTTTGTTTGTTCACAGCTCCTCGCCCTTTGGCTGCAGAGCTTACTAAATGCAAAACGCAGTGAGTCATCGTGCACAACGTAGCTCATGAGGCTGTCAGCCTGATTTTATTTTCATCTGTGAGCAACAGCCTCTGCTTCCTCCGGAATTCATTACTGGCCTTATGGCTAAGAGTGGAGTTTGTATTTGTTATCTATGTATTGATCTGTGTATTTACTGGATAGAGCCTTTCTCAACATTTAGAAGAGCAAAGTGATAATACTTTTCTTTAGGCTGGTTAACTGAATGTTTATGCAGTGATCAAACTGACAGATTCAAGTACTAGTAAGTTGTGTAATAGCGCTGTGATGCACTTTAATTGCACAATGTCTGCAATCCACTGTTTCTAGTAAACCGCATTGTAAGAGTGTCTTTACCCTTGAAATGAGAACCATCTGTGAGGAAGTGAATGTTAACGAGACATTTTGACCCAGACAGGGGGGAAATGATTATTGTTTGTGAAAGCTGTGAAGGGCAGAGCCTCACATTTTCACTCCAGATTCATCGGCCGGCTCTGACTTCAAAACGAACAGAAACAACGGTGCTGATGCGTAGAAGTGACCATTTTAATTCTCTACTTTTGCAGGATCGAATTTGTAAAATAGCACAAGCAGTGCCACAAGTCCTCTCTGTGTTAAGTAATTTAATACAATTTGCAGTTACTGAGTTTAAACTTTTCACCTAATGGTCATTTTAATAACAAAATGACATCCTTCCACGTAGAATTATTTCTGTGGAACACTCATTACAAGACCAATCAGTCCTCTCACTTTTATTTTGCTGTGTTTCAGTGTTGAGGTGCAAATTACAACCTTAAAGATAATTCTGAGCAGAAAAGCCATGACTGTTCCTTTTGGTATAAAGGTTAACACCTGTGTTTTGACTCATGTGCTTTGCTTGATGTCTGAAATTTCTTTTCAACTCAGTTTCAGTATTAGTAGTTTGCGTTGCACTGCTTTCGTCAGACAAGACGCTGCTGAAGGTGTGAACAGAAGAATCACTTCGGCAGTGTGCTGCGTTTCTGTAAAGTCATGTAAAAGGTTGAATCGATGTGGAGAGGCTGCCAACATACACAGCAGAATAAGAAGAGCGTGGCAGCAGAGGAACAGGTGGGATGATTTTTAAAATAATCTGTTGTCTCTGTTTCTTCAGATGACTGAACAAAGGAAGCAGAAGCAGCGGATCGGCTTGTTGGGGCACCCTCAGCACATGAACGTCAACCCCCAGCAGCCTGCGTAAGGTCGACTGACACACCTTGGAAGCAGCTCGCCATCGACTGTGTGTCTCAGCCACTCGGAGGCACGTACGCTGTACTGAGTGTGAGTTTAACGTATAACGGTAGGGAACCACTGTAACGCATAGGTAGACATAAGGCGATGTGTAGCTCCGTCCCACACACGTGTTACTAAGCGGAGTAACATTCACCCACCTCGTTCTGCTCAGTCCAGTCGCACTTTGTGCCAAACGTTTTCTGTGTAGAAATAAATCGAGATTCCTCAACACATGGCCTTTAACTTGAAACATGATGGAGCTGACTGGACAGGAGGAATCACACCCATTTCTTTGTAATTTTATTTGAATGTTTTCTATTTATATTTCATAATTAGCAGTATTTCATGTCTTATTTTTGTACGTTTTTGTGCAATATATTAACTTAAATATGCAACCTCGCTGGTGTGTGGATTTAAGTTCCATCAGTCATTTCTTACTTCAGGCGTGGGCCAACATTTTTGTTTGTACTTTACTGTCACTGGATAAAGTAGCGAGTTGTCAGTTGTCTTTACTTAAATATAGAGAAAATATTGAATAAGCTGGCCTTCTCAATTTTACTTTTTTCTTTCTTGAAAATGTGCATACTTCTGGAGTGTCACCTGCACTCGATAGTAAATTGTGTGAGAGCAATATATACAGATAGTTTCCGCAAATCCAGTGGTGTCACTTCTCTGTGCAAATTAAATAGATTTACTTTCTTATTTAATTGACATTTAGAATATTTGACTAGTCTGTCAGATATCGTGTCACTCATGCATTTATAATTTCCTCAGGAGTTGCGCATATTTTACTTTAAATAACATAACTAGCGCCATTTCTCACTTGTGCCTGCCGTCCCTCATTTAAAGTCTGATTCATGCTTGTGCAGTCTCTAACTTTTATGCTCATGTTCACTAATATGTATTAGTTGATTTAGAAGTCCCGTTTTTTTTTGGGACTACTGTGTGTACATAAAGTTTGTTGCTTACTTTTGCTTTTGTATAGAAAAATGAGATGGAGATAAACAACTGTTGCTCAAAATTAATGTTAACATGAATTAAAAATGTAAGCACTGTCAATTTGTATATTAAAGTAGGATTATTTATTAAAATTGATGTAATTATCCTTTACTCATTGTGATGTCTGTTTATTATATGAAATTGTCCATATATAGTAAAATCATTATGCTCTTCGTTTAAAAATGTATTTATTTACAACCATTCAGTGATCAGTGGGTGCAACATGAGTCATACTGGTGTTGTAGAATTATCATAAGCCAGTGAAATGAATTGGAATACTGTAAATATCCCGAATAGGATATATACGTATATCAATGTATATTTACAATTTACATTTACAATTTTTGGCCAATAATATCAGCAGATATGAGCCATTCACAGACATATCGGTTCCAGCATTTTTGTTTGCCAATATGAAAACTTTTATTTCACAAAATAAACAATGTCAACAGATGTGTGTTTATGTTTATATTTTATGTAAAAAAAATCTTAATTTAAGTTTTAGATTTGGTTGTACTTGTGTTTTCTTTTTATGTATAATTATTTAAAGTGGAGTCTATATGTCTAAACAGTAAAATATCAAACCTCAATCATATTTCTTTGTCATATGAGTTTGATAATGACATCTTAGGAATTGTAGATTGTTTGTGTGTGTATAAATATTTGCTGATATATTGATATATTGTGTGTGTGTGTGTGCACGAGCGTGTGCGTATAAACTAAAAATATTCTAAGAAAAAACAATGTTAAAAGTGTAAGATGCACATTTAACTCAAGCAATCCACAACTTCACAAAGAGCAAACTGGAACATGCACATCTTCAATATGTATTTATTAATAATGATAATCCAATTTGATTTAATGAAGGTGCACTTTGTTGACACCAAAGAACCTACAGGTCTCTGCTCTGATGGCTGACAGTGACATAGAAACATTTGCACAACAACAGTAATGACAGCAATTCAGTTTTAGATGGTTGCATTTTTTATTCACCGTTTTGAAAAAAAATATATAAACATAAACTTCAAGATCTGAAATGATAAATAAAAACAAGTTGTCCTGACTTGAGGACGTGTCTCGGTGTATTTGGTGTTCAGAGCAGGTGCAGACAGAGAGCCTGTGCTCGCTCCACGTTTCTCCTGTTTCCAGCCTGTGTCTATCTTTAGTCTCTGGCTGCTTCGGGACATCGGCGGATGGAACCGACCGAGCACTCGGCTGCCCTCGGCTTGTCTGTGAGCGTGACGTCACCGGCAGGGATCTGCCGCTCGGCTCTCCTTCTCTTCCTCTCTTCCTCCCTGTCTCCTTCTCTCTCTCCCTC